CAAGAACTCGTGGCGCCACCGGATTGGCTGGTGAAATCCCAGTCTAATATTAAGGTGTTTCGACCTCTCCAGAGTGTCGTGCAGGCGGTTGAATCTAGGCCCCAATGAGGGAACCGGAGAAATGGCAGGCAATGGATCCCAGGTGGATACACATGATTCCCGTATGGGAATTATGGAGGTCCTGTTATACTAGTAGCGTAGTGTCAACTATAAAGATAGCTGGACCAAGTCACGTCTAGACTTGCCGAAGTAATAAAAAAAAAAATAAATAAAAAAAAAAAAAATATATAGTCAATTAAAAAACAAAAAAAACAAGAATTGATTTTAATTACATATATATAGCAAAAGCAAAATTATGAAAAAGCAAATTTTTATTTCAAATCTGATATAAAGATATTAGATAAGTCAGAGGTTCCAAATCATCTACGAATAAAGTAATCAAATCTCATTTAGCTAAAGTATCATCTGCAGGATAGATATTTCTTCCAGCTAAATTAAAATCTTTTTATCGAAAAAAATTTCATCTATTATATTATCCATTTGATTTCCATATTTAGTTGTATCAATCCATTGGTTAATAATTATAATCTATTAATTTTCTTCTTCAATAATAGATTCATCTATATCATCTTCTAAAAGTTGATTATTTTCATTTTTTTCAAAATCACTATTATTTTCATTCTCATCAAAATTACTATTATTTTCATTAAATTCTATTTCATTTTTTTCAGAATCACTATTGAATAAAATAGGTGTTGAAATATGCAAATTTTGTGTTTGTTTATCTGCTTTTTGATTGCTATTATTACGGTAAAATAAAATATTACTATGCATTTGGCTCATTGCCAATACTTTTTTAGACTAATAATAAAATAAATTATTAATAATATAATATATATATATTGCATATAATATTTAATTTTTTAATAATAAATATATAATTAATAAATAAATTTATATATACCAATAATTTATTTCGTCTAACTGTGTGCAAAAAGCCTATAGAAAACCAAAGTCTTTTAACTGATGCAGAATTAATACATATTCCATGAATATGTATCAGTTTTCCAAATTGAGCCAGCTCAATTAGGCTTATTTAATATTCCCATTGGCTCATTAAGGCTTGTTTAGTTTTATACTATATAATATATAAAAATATCATTTATTTGTATAATTTATATGATATTCTTAAACATATCATATATTATATAGCTCATAAATAAATAAGTCTTCAATAAGCCAATGGGGTGTAGAATAAGCCTAATCGAGCCAACTCAATTCAGAACACTGATATATATTGCTAATTTAGCTTATTCGGGACCAGTATCTGTTGTAGATTCCCAAAAATCAAGTAGATTTTCTTGAAATTGTTGAAATGATATGTTATTATAGGGTTCTTCTTCTTATTTATATTTGATCATTTCACTAAGAATTGATTATTATGGTAAATTGAAAAATGCCTAATAATAATATCTTAGCCATTGCCCAATATGTGTCCAAGTAAGATTATTAACTATATTATTAAATTTTAAAAGTCTGTATATTGGATAAAAAACAACAGATAATAATAATAATGGTTGTTCTCAACAACTCTATCAATATTCTATTCGATTAACCATTTTTTTGCAAATTCTTTATCAATTGGCTAGAAAAAATTTTAATTGTATAAGCAAAATAATGCACAACTTCATATAATTTTACAGCATCTTTTTGCAACTTATTAAAAAAACTATATAAAGGATAAAGTAAATTTTGCAATGAAAATAAAATTCTCCAAAATTCTGAATCATTAATTATATCTGCTATATCATCAGGTAATTTTTGTTCTTTATTATTATACTTTGAATTTTTGCTAGCTGGTATAGTTGGAACATCATTAATTTGTAGCACATTTGATCAGTGTTTATTATATCTTGCTAAAAGAAACTATATAAAATATTAAATATGTATTTAAATTAATAATAATTTAAAATAAAAATTTAAATTCTTACTTTTAAAGCAGCTTGAATTTTTATAATTGAATAAACAAATAAAAATCATAACTCTTTCCAACGATCATCTGGACCACTACTTCCCAAAAATTTTTTACAAGGAAAACACCAGATGTCGGGGCACTTCAATGAAATGTTGAGGTTTAAATCATAAGACATGGGAAAATGGCTTGCAGGACAGCTCTTGTCATTTAGAGATAGTTCTCATACTTTACTTGCCGACTTGTTTCAGAGTTTATTACTCACTGTTTCTTGCAACATGGCACTTGTTGTTTAGAGATAGTTCTCATACACTACCTGCCGACAAGCTCGGAGTTTATCACTCACTGAAAAAAGTAAGTATTGTACAAGTTATGGGCAGAGGGTTTAATTGAAGTAAAGAATACTCACGCTCCTTTGGTGCTCTCCTATTGTTTTTTTTTTACAATTCTTTCACTTTTTGTTATTCTTACCATAATTTTCAAAAAAAGTGGGCATTTTGGCTTACCCTTTCCAAAAGATTGGCATTGTTTACTCCTACCAAATCGGGATGAACTCAGTAGAAAGCAACCACATGTTTTGTTAATTTACAAATGCGGTGCTACAGTACGGGAATAGATACAGTATCCTCATTTAGGAGATACCCAGTTGAGTCAGTGCACAGAATGAGTCCTAAAAATAAGATGAACGTTTTATAACGAAATATAATAATTAGTTGCAGTTATTATATAATTTTTATTACCAAGGTGCCTGTCATGGCTACCTTCACTTTTTTCATT